AACAAAATAGATTCAGAGACATGAAAGCATGGAATAGACTGAGGAATCTCAGAGGGAAGGTGGGGGGGATGGGTCAGAAGAGATTAACCAAAGAACCTAAATGCATATATGTATAACCCATGGACACAGACAGTAGTGCAGTGACACCCCAGGAGAGGGTGGGAGTGGGGTGGAGGGGGTCAATTGGTGGAAAAAAGGGATACTTATGATACTTTCAACAATAAAGATAAAATTAAAAACAAACAATAGAGATAATAAAGTGATTTAAAACTAAAAAAATTAATATTAATTAATTAATTAAATGGAATAAGAATATGTTTTCATCCCTCCTAACAACACTAAATGAAGGGACTGTGTCATATTTACTTTTGTATTCCCCAATGTAACAGAACCTGGCAGGTGTTCAGTAAATGCTTGCTGAATACTTAAAACTGAGAAAAAAGATAATTCCCTACATGGAAAAGTCTGATTTTTTACTATAAAACCCAAACAACAGAGATCTAATGAAGAGGAAAATAAAGTAAGGAACCTAATTTATAGCGTAACAGATACTGTCCTCTGTTTTACAAACATAATACAATTATTTGAGTAAGAAAGCATATTTTAAACTCAGTAGTTTTACAGAATAGTTGAACATGAACCTGTCCTGGACATCATAAAAATATCTCTGGATATAGCCCTGACATAGGAGTAGCATCAATCATAAAAATAAAAGTACCTTTGGTGGTTTAAAAGGATAGTCGGTCGGAAAGTGGACAGTGAGAAAGAAGACTCCACCTTGATATGCGCTATCAGGCTGAAATTACAAAATATCTGCATCAGTGTTTGATACTACATTTATTTGATAACCTAAAATGATCCCCCCCCCCAAAAAATGTCAGTTTGAAAAACATGCCATCATTTTGTCATAAGTTCAGATCATTTACCTTGAAAACAGGTTTTCCTTTGCAGGTATGAATGAGGATTTCCCAACTATCATGTTGATATCATAGAGTTTAACACAAAAATAGCACACACACAGTGGTGTGACTTGCCTGTACAAATCTATTTACGAATACATATTTTTAAGTATCAGTATATACACAAGACTGCTGTGAGAAGAGAATCATTTTCTGCAGCAGTAATAAGTATGAAAAAAAAGGGCTGGGGCTAGTGTTTACCTGCTAACTTATGAAACTGAAGTTCTGATAGTTCTCTGAGGGGCAAGAATGGAGATGAATTGAAGAGAATAAGCTATGAAAGGGAAAGGCTAAGGGACACAATTTAGACCTCAAATCCTCACTCAATAATAGTTTAGAAAATAATGTGAAAATGTACAAAAAGCCCCAAACAAACCTAAGAAATTCAATATTCACGGAATTATCAAATCATGAATCAACAAGAGGAATTTCAATTTGGCCATGCATTTTTATGGCAATTAGAAAATATGTTACAAGCAAGGGAAAAAAAGATAGTTTTTTTAAAGGTAGCAAAAATACTTAAGATTATATTTTAATTCCTTTATATTTAATTAAATGTATCATGTTGTATTACCATTTTGGTTATAATAGCAAGACTATCATTACTTCTTTCTTAAGTTTGTGCATATATATTAGAGGACTATATTGTATAATTATTCTTACTGTATGTATTGTTTAATTCTAGTTCATTAAATATTATAAGGAATGTAGAAAACATAAGTAAATTACAATTGATAGTCAATAGTCTGTTTAGATATTCAAATGATACTATGAAGTGACATGTTTACATTACTAAAATAAAGGGGGTATGCATAACATAATTATAACCATTTGCTACACGTAATTCACCTAAGAAATATTTTTGAAGGGCTATAATTTAAGTGGTAAGGATGATAGTATTTTGAAGGTTCTTAGTAAGCAATGAAAAACAAACCACCAGATTCTTCTTAAACATTGCCATTTAAATAAATATGTTGCATTTTACCCTTTAAAAGGCTAACTTAACAATTTAGTAACTGAGATACCTGCCCAGGACTCCTGCTCTGAAAAGTCAATTGTTTTGTTTCTTAAGTTAAACACAAGGCAATACGATTAAAAACTCTGTGGCTCACTAGACCTAGATAGAGCTCTTTTGGGGGAGAGAGGAGAGAATGATGTTCATGAAAACATGTTAGTATGTTTCCCAGAAGAAGATTTAAGCTGTCTGTGCCCATTCTTATGCAATCAGATTTCTGCTCACACAGAGGAAAGCCTGTTTCTAGTCACAACTGCCTCTTGGGTGTAGAAAGAAATAATCTTAAAAATGGTAATTAGTGTTGAGAGAAGCCGCCCATAAAATAGCAGGTAATTTTGATTTCAGGATAATCCAACAAAACTAAAAGCGCCACACTCATGAGGTGGCAAAGATAGACCCAATGCAATATTTTATCAGTTATCTCTCACATATGGGAAGTGATAAAACTCACTGCAAATGGGTACCTGTTACCTGTAGGAATTCCATTATTGCGTTAGACTTATTTCTGACCTACTAAAACTGTTGATGTGGGAATAATTATGCTTAGTTCTGAACAACTGGCTTTTTGTGTTTAAAAAAAGATAAAGGAAACGCACAGCCTGGTTGCAACTTGTGGGTGATCCATTACTATGTATAATGACTGAGGATTTGGCAAAGGAAAACACATCCCAACGACCCTAGCAAGTATTTGCCATCAGTGCTGTAGAAAATTATCATAAACCCTTTAATCACATTTTGCTTCCTGAGTGATTCACATACAAGAGAATTCAACCTTAGCCACAAACATCTGATCAAAGGTGAAATGGCAAGAATGAAGTATGAGGGGATTAATTTCATATATATGAATCATACTTACAGGCCCCATAATAGTTGCTTGCCAGTGGAACACTGAAACAAACAAAGGAGTTTTGGAGTCATTAACAAATGTTCAAACCTATATTATTACAGGTAGCAAAATGCTAGCAATAAAGCAAAGCTTACAGTCGTCTCCCACAGGTCCAGCTGAACAGTGAGCAGGTGGGTCACGCTGTAGATCACTTAATTCCTGAAACAAAACAAAATACTTAAGATTAATTCTTTTTCTAGTAAAACAGCATAATAAACCATGAAGACACAGACTATCAACTTCACTTTTAAAACCATTTTAGGCAGTTCAGTTCAAAATATGAAAACAGGCCAAATGTGGCCTGCGGTGGGCAGGGGAGCCATCGCCACTCAGCCTGCCACTTAGTTTTCCCTCTCTCGCCCCCTGGGCTCCTGGGGGTGGCGGAGAGGGTCTGTCCCTGCACATGGGCCTCCGCGTTCAGATAGTCTCAAGCCACAGAGAAATGGTGGAAAATTCACCATCTCCATTGCCAGAAAGAGCAATTTATGGCTTTGTTCTTTTCTTAAGCTCCCAATTTGGCTTCATACTATATCTCATGTTGGCTTTTATTCCTGTATCTTAGCTAAACTCCTTAGCTGAGCCAGTGTAGCTCAGCAGTTGAGCATTGACCTAGGATCCAAAAGATAGAGGTTTGATTCCCGGTCAGGGCATGTGCCTCAGTTGCCAGCCGGATCCCCAGGGGGGGCATGCAGGAGGCAGCAGATCAATGGCTCTCTCTCATCATTGATGTTTCTATCTCTCCCTCTCCCTTTCTCTCTCTGAAATCAACAAAGACATATTTTGGGGGAAAAAGTACAGGGCAGTTGCATTGTCATCTATCTTCTCATTACTACAGTATTATGGTATGTACTCTTTTTCTTTTTATTAAATATATCTTTATTGACTTCAGAGAGAGGAAGGGAGAGGGAGAGAGAGAGAGAGAAACGTCAATGATGTGAGAGAGTCATTGATCGGCTGCCTCCTGCACGCCCCCAACTGGGGATCGAGCCCGCAACCCGGGCCTGTGCCCTGACAGGGAATTGAACCCCGATCGCCTGGATTCCAGGTTGATGCTCAAACGCTGAGCCACGCCGGCTGGGCAGGGTAGGTACTCTTATTTGGAGTGAACATGAAGAGAACCTCCGCACTCAACTCCATTCAAACAATCACAGATAACTCTGCTAAACATCAACAGCAGAAGAAACACCAAGAAGAGGCCATGCCAGCATTAACAGGTATTCCCTCTAGTGAAGTAAACCAAATGTTCTTACAGCCAAAGAACTTCACATCAAAAAATTAATTGAATGTAGACTAACATCAAACATTTATTATAATTTTTGACATAATAATTTTGACCATAATTATCTCTCTTAATATCAGTACTGAAATATTTTGAAAAATAGAAGTTGAACTTCTCTTAGATTAAGTTCCATTAACATTGTAAATGTTCTCAAATATTAGTTATTAATGGACAGAATAAATAAAACACTGTATTACCATAAAAAAAAGACAAAATGTATTCTGTCACTGACTGGAAGAAGAATAGGAAATAAGGTATTAAATTTCTTCACGAGGCAGCTCCAAACCTTGAAAAAACTAAATGGATTAAAATTGTTTTTCTTTAATAGTTCTAGGATAAAAATATTTAATGAGTATCTACTGTAGGCAAGGTAATTTATATAAGTATTAGGTATATAATATATAAGAAACAGGTCTCACTTCAACATATTTATAATCTAATTTGAGAGAGTGAAGGCTCACAGAGACGGCTATTTAAGGAAAAACCCAAAGGTCAAATGAAAAGAAAGGAGAACAGTAAGGCCATATTTTGAAGCCTAGCATGTTGATTCATATGCTCTTTTCTGCTATCCAGGAAGCACAGGAAGGATCGTGGAGAGGGCACAGCTTTAGGTGGGCCAGTCCCGGGTTGGCATTCCAGTTTTAGCATAGCTCTAAGACCTTGGAGAAATTACCTTTCCCTTACCTTCAGCTGGGAAGAATCTAATCACCTCCAAGTAGAAAAGGTATAAGTTCAATATAAAAAAAAAAAACCTATATATTAGGATTGAAGAACCTAATTTAGCTTGAAGATCAGGGAATGTCTCTGAGGAAAAGGGACCTAAGCTGAAATCTAACTGAGTGGGAGTTTGGGGCAGATTTGAGTGACACTGTGCGGCAGAGCGGCATAAAATGAGGTTGAAAAAGTAGGCAGAGGCCAGGCCCCAAACGAGGAACAATATACCCATGTTAAGGATTTGGGGTTTTATCCCAGTGCCTCGGGAGGGGTTCTAAGCAGTGGCATGATCTGATTTAAAAGATGGCACTACTGGTCTTAGTAACTGAATGGATTAGAGATGGGAAAGAGGAGAAGCTATAAGATTAGTTACCACAGGCAAGAAAAACAGGGGACTGGACTGGAGGAGCGGCAACAAGGAAAAGCAGACAGATCTGAGATGTTTTGAAGGATTTACCTATCACAGGCTGTGATGATGAATTAATTACATGTGCAGAGTAAGGAGAGGTCACGGATATGTATGAGGAAGGTCAGGGCAGCTAGCATTTACTCGATGTTTTATTGTCCTAACAATCCTCAGAGGTAGGTGTCATGCTCCCCGTGTCACAGATGAAGAGCACAGGTGACTCACTTCACTATGTGCGCACAATGCTGGTGTGTGCAGGGTAGAACTGGGATTCAAACCCTGAAGGTCAAACTTCTAGCTTTTTAGCTTCACAAATGTACAAAGGTAGATGCCATTTACTGAGACGAGGGAACACTAGAAGACAAGTTGATTTGGAAGGTAGACCTACAGAATCTGTAACCCCTGTGACAGCAAGGGAACTTTTAGTTCAACATACAGGACTGAAGTATAAAAGAGGACTGGACTAGAAATTGGAAAATCATTGTATATACCTGGTATTTAAAACTGTGGGAATGATGTAAACATTTTCATGGGAACACATGTAAACAAATTTTGCATTTCATCAAATCTAAGATGTCATCCACCGTAAAACACATCCTTATTTTATGTAACAATAATTAAGGAGGAATGCTGCCAATTAATTTTATCATACCATGGATTATAAGATGCATCCAGATTTTATTCAAAACAAAAACAATGTGCACCTTAGAGTCATTACAATATGGTAATTATAGCAATGAGTTCAGTGTTCTAATAGAGACAAACAAGAAGACATGGTAGTGATAGGCTTTCCGGAAAAAGTGATATGAGCTAAGCAACTGAGCCAAGTGCAAAGTCAGGTCTCCTTCTTCCAAGTCTTCCAGTCTACTTTGGTACTTTCATTTTTGGTTTTGTTGCTGTTTTTTTCACAGCTGGTACAATGCTTCTCTTCCTGACAAGAATTAACTAACAGAGTTAGCAACTCCTTTGGTCCGGATATAGTTACACAATAAAGAGAAATATTTCAGTCTCTGACTTAGCAATAGTGGTTAAAAAGCAAGGCTTTAAAGTTCAAGTCCAGGTGCCACCACACACTTGCCACATGACCTTAGGCAAAATATTTTTTTTTCTTTCCTAATCTCAGTTTTCTTTCATGTAAGGGGCAATACTACTTTTATCCATAGTTTCTATGACCAACAAGTGAAATGACACATGTAAAGCATATATCAGTCTCTGGTACACAGGAAGCATTTGAATAAATGTTAAGATAATATAAAATTGAAAATCCAATCCAATTCTCTAGTAGCAGAGGAGGCATTCCCAAGTCACAGCCCCATTTTAGAAGGACTGTGTTTTATTTAAGTTTTCTAACTTGGGCTTTTAGGAGATTGCTTCTGGAAATATTCATCATGTGTAGTTTTCTAAACATTAGTATATATGGGTAAATGAGATTTCTTTGCCCTTATTTTAACCAGAAAACTAGTTCATTAGAAAATGCAGTATCTAATTGTGGCTTTTAAAAACTGTTAATGACTCACAAGCACTTATATTTTACATAGATAATGTATATGTGAATAAATCACACATATAATAAATACATAAATTTATTGTTTACTAATAAAAAAAATCCAAAACCACATTTTATTTGGAATAGTCATGAACCATGTTCAGATTTCAAATACGAGACAGTTCTTCAAATCCCATTAAAATATTACAGAAAAATAAAGGTTACCTTGTTCTCACATTTTTGTGCCCTGATTCTATCTCCTCTGTAAAGAGAAGTTAAGAGCTAAGGATGAGAGAGACAAAATCTAACAATGAACTCCTGCAAAGGCCAGGTTCTTAGGTTGTCTACTGAAAGCTCACTTATTATAGGAAAGAGGCAGCTGATAGTACATCAAACATCAAACATTCTTAATAGTCACACTGACGATTACTACTAATAATGGCACTAAGGCCTGGGTGAGGAACTTACACGTCCTAGACTTTTAAGAAGGGTCTAAATTTATAATGTCCTGTCCCTTTGTCAAACCATGTCTGGAAACATGTTGTTATACTGTTTGTAAATATGTAACTAAAACTACAGTGCACAGGTACAAAGAGGATGACCACAGGAAACAAAAGGCACAGTGTACACCCACCCTTAAAAATACAGCTCTTGCCCTGGCTGGTATCGCTCAGTAGACAGAGCGACGGCCCTTGCACCAAAAGGGTCAAGGGTTTGATTCCGGTCAAGAGTTGATCCCCAGCCCTGGTTGGGGCATGTGTGGGAGGCAACCAATCAATGTGTCTCGCTCAATGTCGCTGTTTCTCTCTCCCCCTCCCTCCATTCCACTCTCTCTAAAAATCAATGGAAAAAATATCAGGGGAGTATTAACAACAACAACAACTATATATATATATATATATATACACACACACACACACACACACATCTTGAATTTGAAAAAAGAAAATTAAAGAATTCTGAGATGTGCTAGAAGGTAAAAATATAAAACAAATGCTACAACCAAACCCCACCTTTTTGGCTCTTAGCTCAGCAGCCAGTGTACTTTCAGATAGGACACAAGAAATCAAGGACCACTGATACTCATTAACTCTTCCCTTTTAATTAGTTTACTCCAGGTTTTCAGGAATCACCTTATCTCATTTATGTTTTCTCTGATATAACTAATATTCTTATTTACCCACTTCTAGCATCACAGGCACATATGGAGTATAAAAAATAATCCATTGATTCTTATGTTATTCCCGAAGGAAATGTTAGGATTAGTATCTC